ACTTATACAGTATTCAAGACTGTGTATTATTGTTGTAAAGATAGAAAAATAGAGCAAAACAATAGAATTGAGTGGTCTGGACTGAATGTGCCCTACTCAAAATTTATATGTTGAAACCCTACTGCCCAATATGATGGTATGAAGAGGTGGGACCTTTAAGAGGTGATTAGGTTTAGATGAGGTCCTATGGGTGGAGACCTCATTAATGGAATTAGTGCACTTATGAAGTCACGAGAGAGCTTGCTTTCCCTCTCTGTTCTCTGCTATGTGAAGATACAGCAAGAAGTAAACCGTCTACAACTTGGAGAGGGCCCTCAGCAGAACCCTACCATGCTGACACCTTCTCTTGGACTTCCAGCTTCCACTATGAGAAAAATATTTTTGTGGTTTATGAACCACCCAGTTTATGGTGCTCTGTCACAGCAGCCCAAACTGACTATGACAAGAGAGTCTGAGAAAAAGACCCCACATATTATGCACACTGATTTTTAACAAATGTATGAAGAAAATTCAGTGGGTCAAGGATAGTCTTTTCAATAAATGGTGCTCGAACAATTGCATATGCAGATGGAAAACAATGAACAATGAACTCCAATCCGTACCTCATGTTATACGTAATTAACTCAAAACGGATCATAGCCTAAACATAAGACCTAAAGCTATAATAACATTTCTTATAAATAGAATAAAGTCTGTGATATTAAGTCAGATAAAGATTTCCTAGGTATAACACCAAAATCCATAAAAGAAAACTAAAACTGGGCACAGTGGCTCATGCCTCTAATCATAGCACTTTGGGAGGCTGAGGCAGGAAGATCACTTGAGGTCCAGACCAGCCCTGGCAACATAGCGAGTCCCTGTCTCTACAAAAAATTTAAAAATTAGCTGGACATGATGGCACATGCTTATAGTCCCAGCTACTCTGGAGACTGAGGTGGAAGTTTTGCTTGAGCCGGGGAGCTTGAGGCTGCAGTGGTATGTGATGGCCCCACTGCACTCCGGCCTGGGTGACAGAGTAAGACTCTGTCTCAAACAAAAAGGAAAAGAGGCCGGGCACGGTGACTCACACTTGTAATCCCAGCACTTTGGGAGGCCGAGGCAGGCGGATCACGAGGTCAGGAGTCCGAGACCAGCCTCAGCAACACAGTGAAACCCCGTCTCTACTAAAAATACAAAAAATTAGCCGGTGCGGTGGCAGGTGCCTGTAATCCCAGCTGCTTGGGAGGTTGAGGCAGGAGAATCGCTTGAACCCGGGAGGTGGAGGTTGCAGTGAGACAAGATTACGCCATTGCATCCAGACCGGGAGACAGTGCAAGACTCCGTCTCAAAAAAAAGAAAGAAAGAAAGAAAGGAAGGAAGGAAGGAGGGAATTCAACTTCAGCAAAATTAAAAACTTCTGCTCTTCAAAAGACACTGTTAAGATAATGAAAAGACAAGTCATCAACCAGGAAAGAACATTTCAAAGGATACATCTCAAAAATAAGTTGTACTCAGAATATATAAAGAACTCTTACAACTCCATAAGAAGACAAACATCCAACAAAAAATGGGCAAACTATCTGAGCAGTTGCTTCACCAAAGAAGCTATACAGATGACAAATAAGCACATGAAAAGATGCTCAACGTTATTAGACATTAGGGAAATGCAAATTAAAACCACAATAAGTTACCACTATGCAGCCACTATAATAGGAAATTGTTGTCAAAGATATGAAGAAACTGGAACTTCATACACTGCTGGTGGGAACACAAAATGATACCCATCAGTTTGGAAGTTTTTCAAAAAGTAAAATATTTATCTATCATATGATCCAGCCAACTCCTAGGCATTTACCCAAGAGGAAAGTAAACATATGTTTATATAAATACTTGTACATTAACATTCATAGCAGAGTTATTTGTAATAGCAAAAAACTGAAGCAATCCAAATGTCTATCGATGGGTAAATAGACAAACTGTGATCTATCCAAACAATGGCACACTACTTACAGTAAATAGCAATGAACTATTGATACACACAACAGCATGGATGAATCTCAAAATAATTATGCTGAGTGAAAGAATCTAGAAAAAAAATAAGGCACACTGTAGTATTTCATTTATATAAAACTCTAGAAGCTGCAGACTAATCTATAGTGATGAAAACAGATCAATCATTACCTGGGGAGGAGTGGCTAGAGAGGGGCAGAAGGACAGGGGTACAGGAAACTTGTGTGGGTGATGAATATATCCCCTATCTTTTGTGGTGATTGCTTGACAGTATATACATATGTCAAAACTTACCAAACTGTACACTTCAAATACATGCAGTTTATTGTATATCAATTATATCTCGATAAAAGTGTTTAAAGACAAAAGTGATAGTTTGGCAAGAACTTGAAGGAAGTGAGAAAATTCACCTTGTGGATAACTAATGGGAGATTTTTGAAAAATTATTAACAAAATCTGTGCAGAGACATTTCGATTTTTTGTTTACCCAGAAATTTTACCTTCTTCTGGTGTAACAGCACCTTCTATATCAGTTAGGATTTGTATTGGCTGCAAGTGACAGCAAATTCAACACAGTAGGAACTTAGGCAAATTAAAGTTTAATTTTTCCCTTCCATAAATCTGGGCAGTTTAGGGTTGGTATGACGACAGGCAGGCAGACTCAGGAAATGCTGTCTTTATTCTTTTTTTTTTTCTTTCTTTCTTTCTTTTTTGTTTTGAGACAGAATTTTGCTCTGTCACCCAGGCTGGAGTGCAGTGGTGCCATCTTGGTTCACTGCGACCTGTACCTCCCGGGTTCAAGTGATTCTCGTGCTTCAGTCTCACAAGTAGCTGGGATTACAGGTGCCTGCCACCACGCCCAGCTAATTTTTGTATTTTTAGTAGAGACAGGGTTTCACCATGTTTGGCCAGGCCGGTCTCGAACTCCTGACTTCAAGCGATACACCCGCCTCAGCCTCCCAAAGTGCTGGGATTACAGATGTGAGCCACCGCACCCGGCCCCAATTTCTTAAAATAAGACAGCAAAGATGTTTGCCACCTGAATTGACTCTACCTTTCATGAAAGATTTCTCTAGCATGTGATTTTGCTTGATAGCATTTTACTCGTAATAGAACTTCTTTCAAAATTGGAGCCAGTCCTCTCAAACCCTGCTGCTGCTTTATCAATGATGTTTATGTAATATCTAAATCCTTTGTTGTCATTTCAACAATGTTCACAGCATCTTCACCAGGAGTAGATTCCATCTTGAGAAACTACTTTCTTTGCTCATCCATAAGAAGCAACTCCTCACTGGTTCAAGTTGGATCATGAGATTGCAGCAATTCAGTCCCATCTTCAGGCTCCACAATTTTTTTTTTTTTTTTTTTTGAGATGGAGTTTCACTCTTGTTACCCAGGCTGGAGTGCAATGGCACCATCTCGGCTCACCGCAACCTCTGCCTCCTGGGTTCAAGCAGTTCTCCTACCTCAGTCTCCTGAGTAGCTGGGATCACGGGCATGCACCACCATGCCTGGCTAATTTTGCATTTTTAGTAGAGATGGGGTTTATCCATGTTGGTCAGGCTGGTCTCAAACTCCTGACCTCAAGTGATCCGCCCACCTCTGCCTCCCAAAGTGCTAGGATTACAGTCGTGAGCCACTGTGCCTGGCCTCCACTTCTAATTCTAGTTCTCTTGCTCTTTCCACATCTGCAGTAACTTCCTTCACTGAAGTCTTGAACCCCTCAAAGTCATCTGTGGTGGTTGGATCAACTTCTTCCAAACTCCTGTTAATGTTGATATTTTGACCTCCTCCTATGAATAACCAATTTTTTTAGAGGTAGGGTCTCACTACGTTTCCCAGGCTGGAGTACAGTGGCTATTCACAGGCACAGTCATGGCACACTGCAGCCTTGAATTCCTGGCCTAAAGTAATCCTCCTGCCTTAGCCTCCTGAGTAGCTACGTGCATGCCACCGGATCAGACTTATGAAGGTTCCCAATGGCATCTAGAATAGTGAATCCCTCCCAGAAGTAGTTCTATTTACTTTGTCCAAATCTGTCAGAGGAATCGCTATCTATGGCAGCTATTGCCTTATGAAATGTATTTCTTAAATAAGACTGAAAATTTTGAAGTAAATCAAAATTACTTTGTTTTTTTTTAGACAGTGTCTCACTCTGTCACCCAGGCTGGAGCGCAGTGGTACAATGTCAGCTTAGTTCAGCCTTGACCTCCCAGGCTCAGGTGATCCTCAGCCTCCCTGGCAGCTGGGACTACAGGTGCACACCACCACCACTCCTGGATAATTTTTGTACTTTTTGTAGAGATGGGTTTTCGCCATGTTGCCCAGGTTGGTCTCGAACTCCTGGGCTCAAGCAATCTGCCTGCCTTGGCCTTCCAAAGTGCTGGGATTACAGGAGTGAGCCACTGCACCCAGCCCCAAGTTACTTCTTGATGATCCATCGGCTGCAGAATGGATGTTGTAAGCAGGCATGAAAACAACATTCATCTCCTTGTACACCTTCATCAGAAGTCTTGGGAGACCAGGTGCATTGTCAAGAGCAGTAATATTTTAAAAATAACATATTTTTCTTAGCGGTAGGTCTCAACAGTGGGCTTAAAATATTTAGTAAACCATGCTGTAATCCTATGTGCTGTCACTCCAGGTTTTGTTGCTCCATTTACAGGGCATAGATAGAGTAGATTTGGCATAATTCTTAATTGCCCTAGAATTTTCAGACTGGTAGATAAGCATTGGCTTCAACTTAAAGTCACCAGCTGCATTAGCCCCTAACAAGACAGTCAGCCTGTTTTTTGAAGATTAGAAGCCAGGCATTGATTTCTCTCCATCTATTAAAGTCCTAGGTAACATCTTTCCCAATGTAAGACAGTTCTGCCTACCCTGATAATCTATTGTTGGCCAGCCGTGGTGGCTCATGCCTTTAATCCCATCACTTTGGGAGTCCAAGGCCAACAGATCGCTAGAGTTCAGTTGTTTAAGACCAGCCCTGGGTGCGGGGGCGGGGAGCTGCGTGACCAGCGGCGGGTCACGTGATGCGGCACGCGCCGGGCCTCCCAAGTTGGCGGTTTGCATCGCGGTGATCGCCAAGGAGAATTACCTCTTCTACATTCGCAGCACCCCCACGGAGAACGAGCTGAAGTTCCACTACATGGTGCACACATCTCTGGACGTGGTGGATGAGAAGATCTCCGCAATGGCGAAGGCCCTGGTCGACCAGAGGGAGCTGTACCTGGACCTGCTCTACCCCACGGAGGACTACAAGGTATACGGCTACGTCACCAACTCCAAGGTGAAGTTTGTCATGGTGGTGGATTCCTCCAACACAGCCCTTCGAGACAACGAAATTCGCAGCATGTTCAGGAAGCTACACAACTCCTACACGGACGTGATGTGCAACCCCTTCTACAACCCGGGGGACTGCATCCAGTCCAGGGCTTTTGATAACATGGTGACGTCCATGATGATACAGGTGTGCTGAATGAGCTGTGCTGCCGGCCATCGCAGAGGATCCCACGCTCGACCGTAGTAGACATCGGTCTGTTCTCGTCGCCTCTTCCTGAATGGGACGCCTGGGGCTTTCAAGGCAGGCAGCTGTGCATGTTCTCTCAACTAAAGGTCTTGTGAGATGAGATTTGGCTTTTTCCTTCCGTGTCAGCCAGGGATTTAACTAAGAAGAATTCAACTAAGGACTTTCAGGGGTGTGGGCAGAGGTTTGGGATTAGATGGTGCAGGAAGCCTGTCCCCAGTTGTCCCGAAGGGGCAGGGGCAAGGACGCCTGGAGCCAAGAGTTCCTGAGCCTGCAGGACCTGTGACCATGTGGGTCGCCCATTGGCTGAACAGGTGGACTGGTCTGGAGGGGGCGGCCTCCTGAGCCCAGAACCAGCCTAGGATCTAGGGGCAAAAGGGGAGCCAGCGTGCCTTCCCACAGGGGAGGGCCCTCCTCTTTCTGGACTTGGCCTCCATTCTTTGCATCTGGCCCAACGTCTAGACTCAGCCCGGCCTGAAAAGAACCCTTGGGAAACCTGGGAAGCCTCGTGGCCCCGTGGCGTTGGCTCAGCTGCAGCCCTCATCCTAAACCCTGGAGCGCAGACTTGAGGCGCCCCTTCCTGCCTGGGGTTAGGTGCTATGTCGCTTGATGACATGGCTGACTACCACCCAGGGCAGCGGCCGAGCCCTTAGTGGTGTCAGTGCCGCCGGCATCCTTGGGGTCCGGCAGTCAAGGCTCAGCCAGCTGAGGAGACAACCCCCCCACCCCCCGAGCTGGTTCCAGCACTGGTCCAGGACTGGAGAGTTTCTCAAGGACCTTGAAGACCCCAGGAGCCCCTGCAGCAGGAAAGGCTGTAAGGAGGTCAGCCTGGGGCACACACAGGGAGGGGAACTTTCTCGATACATATTTATTTGCCTTTTCATCCCATCCAGCAAGCACAGTGTTAATTTTATAAATTATAGAAGAAATCAGCAAGGAGTGTGTGTGAAAACCGCATGCCCCAGGCCTCCCCCGCCCCAGGGTGAATTGGAAGTCCTGGCGTGGGCCGAGGCACACCAGGCAGCTGGTCTGGGTGCACGTGGGCCATAGGCCACCCTCACAGGGTTAAATCTGTAACAAGAGCCTCATGTTTGTTAGAAGGTGAGTCCCCAGCCCAAGCACCTAGCACCTCCCCACTGCAGCCCAGTGTGAAATCTTTGCCTTTTAGTGGGGATCGCTCCTGCCTGAGTCCTGGCTGTGGTGGGGACTCTGCAAGTTGCTAACCCAGCATCCATTCTCCTTCCTCCCTACTAACAGAACTCCGGTGCCTCTGCACAGCTCTGACAGCGGGCAGATGAGAACCATGTCCTGGCCTCCCTCGCAGCCTGGGGTGTGCAGCTGTGGCATGGAGGTGGGTGGTGCTAGGAGAGACTTTCGGGGAAGCTCCTGTGAAGGGGGCTCAGCTGCCAGGTGCAGGGCCCTTCCCCTTTGCCTTCTTCCTGTCTGGAAAATGGATGTGATGGCTGGTGCTGGGACAGCTGTCCTGAGAGCATGAGGAAAGAGTCACACCCTGAGGACAGTGGAGCTGACACAGAACGCGGGAAGGACCCTGGGCCTTTGCTGACGCAGAACGCGGGAAGGACCCTGGGCCTTTGCTGAGGTACCAGCCCCGGACTACTTAAGTTCAGCTTTTTTTAAATGTGAGAAAATAAATGCACCCCTCTCTGGTTTAAACCACAAACAAACAAACAAACAAAGACCAGCCTGGGCAACATAGCGAAACCCTGTCTCTATAAATAATGCAAAAATTAGCCAAGCATAAAGGCACGGGCCTGTAGTCCCAGTTACTCATGAGGCTGAGGTGGGAGGATCACCTGAGCCCAGGAAGTTGAGGCTGCCTTAAGCAGTAATTGCATCACTGTACTCCAGTCTGGGCAAGAGAGGGAGACTGTCAAAAAGAAAGAAAGAGAGAGAAAGAAAGAAAGAGAGAGAGAGAGAGAAAGAAAGAAAGAGAGAGAGAGAGAGGGAAAGGAGGGAGGGAGGGAAAGAAAGAGGAAGGGAGGGAGGGAGGGAAGGAAGGGAGGGAGAGAGGGAGGGAAGGAAGGGAGGGAGAGAGGGAGGGAAGGGAGGGAGGGAGGGAGGGAAGAGAAAAATTTGGGCACCGTGCCTCATGCCTCTAATTCCAGCACTTTGGGAGACTGAGGCAGGCAGATCACTTGAGGCCAGGAGTTCAAGACCAGCCTGGGCAACATGGCAAAACCCTGTCTCTGTGAAAAATACAAAAATTAGCTGGGTGTGGTGGCTCGAGCCTGTAATTCCAGCTACTCGAGAGGCTAAGGAGAGAGGATCACTTGAACCCAGGAAGAGGAGGTTTGCGCCACTGCACTCCAGCCTGGCAACAAGAGTGAAACTCCGTCTCAAAAAAAAAAAAAAAAAAAAAAGAAAAGAAAATCAAATCTGTTGTTTAGTGTAGTCTTGGATCTTTGCTAGATCCTCTAGATAACTTGCTCAGCTTCTACGTCAGTGCTTACGGCTCCACCTTGTGCTTTTACATGATGGAGGTGGCATCTTTAAACCTCATAAACCTCATGAACCAACCTGTTAATTTTTCTTCTGGAGCTTTCTCACCTCTCTCAGCCTTCACAGAATGGAAGAGAGTTAGAACCTTGCTCTGGATTAGGCTTTAGCTGATTTAATCTTCCATCCAGACCACTAGAGTTTTCTCCATATCAGCAATAAGACTGTTTTACTTTCTTACCATTCTTGTGTTCACTGGAGTAGCACTTTTAACTTCCTTCCAGAACTTTTCCTTTGTGTTTACAACTTGGCTGTTTGGTGCAAGAGGCCTCGCTTACAGCCTATCTCAGCTTTTGACATGACTTTCTCACTAAATCATTTCTAGCTTTTGATTTAAAGTGAAAGGCCTGCAACTCTTCCTTTCACTTGAACATTTATAGGTCACTCTAGGGTTATTAATTCACCTAATTCTGATATTAGGTGTCTCAGGGAATAGAGAGGCCCTAAGAAAGGGAGACAGACAGGGGAATGGCCAGTTAGTGGAGCAGTCAGACTACACACAACATTTTTGGATGAAGTTCTCTGTCTTATATGGGTACAGTTCATGGTGTCCCAAAACAATAACAATAGCATTGTAAAAGATCACTGGTCACCATAACAGATATAATAATAATGAAAAAGCTTGAAATGTTGCCAGAATTACCAAAATGTGACCCAGAGACACAAAGTGAGCACACTCTGTCGGAAGCATTGTGCTGGCAGACTTGCTCAACACAGAGCTGCCACAAGCTTTCAATTTGTAAAAATCATAGTATCTGCAAAGTGCAACAAAGCAAAGTGTGCCTGTGCCTAATATGTCCCCAGTCGTCAATAAAAGAGAACACTTAGGGGCTAATTTTGGTCCTTGGGCAGCACCTTACAAGGCCAATTTAACTAAAGAATTAACACTACATTCAAAGCAAATCTCACGAGAAGAAATAATAAATGGTTAGTGCACATATAAAAAAGATTCACACTCTGAATTCTAATTAGGAAAATAATTATTAACACAAAAGGAGGCTGGCTAGGTGTGGTGGCTCACGCCTGTTATCCCAGCACTTAGGAAGGCCAAGGTGGGCAGACAGCTTGAGCCAGGGAATTCGAGACCAGCCTGGGCAACATGGTGAAACCCCATCTCTACAAAAAAATACTAAACAGCCAGGAGTGGTGGCACACACCTGTAGTCCCAGTTGCCCGAAGGGCTAAGGCGGGAAGATCACTTGAGCCTAGTAGGTTGAGGCTGCAGTGAGTTGTGATAGAGCCACTGCACTCCAGCCTGGGTGACAGAGTGAGGCCTTGACTCAAAACAAAAACAAAAACAAAAAACAAAAGGAGGATACATATATTGTAATATATTATTGTGAGAATATAAATTGGTACCAAGTTTGTAGAGAAAAATGTTCTAATATAGGTTGAGCTTCCATAATCTAAAAATTTGAAATCTAAAATGCTCCAAAATTTGAAACGTTTTTGCACATTGACATGATGTTTAAAGGTCATTCTCAAAGGAAATGTTGATTGGAGCACTTCGGATTTTGGATTTTCAGATTAGGGATGCTCAACTGATAAATACATGCAAATACTAAACAATCCAAAATCTGAAACACTTCTTGTACCAAGTATTTCACATAAGGGATAGTCTACCTATAACTACCACAATTTAAAATGCATGTATCTTTTGACCAACAATTTTATTTCTAAGAAACAGCACTCTAGAGTTTAAGGAGATACACACGAGAATATTCACTAAAACATGATTTGAACAAGTGAAATTTGGAGTCAATGTAAAATATTCGTTAATAAAAAAAGTTTCAGTAAATTGTGGTACATTCATGTGATGGTACATTTTATAACAATTTTATAAGATCCTCTATAACTATGGCCCTATATTTATTATAAAACTGTTATAAAAAAAATAGAACGACCAAGGCGGGCAGATCACCTGAGGTCAGGAGTTCAAGACCAACCTGGCCAACATGGTGAAACCCCATCTCTACTAAAAATACAAAAATGAGCTGGGTGTGGTGACGCACGCCTGTAATCTGAGCTACTCAGGAAGCAGAGGCAGGAGGATTGCTTGAATCCGGGAGGGGAGGTTGCAGTGAGCCAAGATTGTACCACTGCACTGACAGAGCAAGACTCCATCTCAAAAAAAAAAAAAAAAAAAAGAATGAATTTAGGTGGTAGCATATAGGTAATATAGTGTAAAATGAAAATAATAAATTATAAAATGAAATATAGCATATAATTTCATTTATTTTCCTTTATTTAAACAATACACATATATAGAATCTGCCAAAATTGGGGGTTCCTCATCTCTCAGAGTAGGACTCTATTTTGATTTTTTAAAGAAGTCAGGAGATGAAAATAGAAGGATACATAGAGAGCGTTATGAGGGTTTTGAGGGGGGTTCTGTAGTTTAAAATACACACATACACACACACACGTCTATATTTAGTGAGGGTGGGGGTTGTTTTGCAGTTAGACTTGGCACTGTCTTGATACCCACCACACCACCCCTGCCCCTCTGCCTGAAGGTGAGCTTGCTCAGTGATCCGAAGAGGACTGGGCCCCACAGTGAGTTCTGCTCACTAGGCAATGAGCATCAATCAACAGGAGGGACATCTCTACTTCTGCTCAACCTCCACCAAACTGAGCAAACAAATGTTGCAAAACGAGATGTTCTGATGCTTTCCATTAATTCTCTCAGGGCATAAATTGTGACACCCATGGTGATGGCCAGCTTTGGCCTCTAACCTCATTTGGGACCCTGAAGGACAGGCAGGTTTCTGCCCAGTCTTTTGTAGAAACACAAAAAGCAGCATTGCTCTCTATATGAAGCAGCTTAAAGTAGAGAATTTCCAGAAATTCTCCTTTATTGCACATTATGAGTCCCATCTTCTTGGCAGGACCACATGGATCTTGCTGTACCTTGCTGAAGAATAATAGGCAATAGTTACAGCCTGCTCATCTCACCTGCTCTGTGGAAAAACAGAATCATTAAGTAACAATATTAGGGATATCATGCCCCCCCAGGGGATTTCCTTAAAGATACACATAGAGGAAGGTCTAGAAGGAGACACAAGAAACCATCCTTGTGATTACCCAGAAGGAGCAAGAATAGGGAGGATGGGAGTAGGAGGGCCTCCTGTGTGTTTGAATAATTTACAAGTGATTATTACTTTCATAATTAAAACTCTTTTATTTCCAGCTGAGAATTAATGTTATATGCTCACTGTGTATATGTTAGAATGAACCCAAAAATATAATCTAAGGAAAATCTTTGCCCGGCATTTTCCAGGTCACCCCCATGGGGAAGTTGGGTGGCTTTCTATTTAAGTATGCATACTGGTTAGGTGCTTTCCTTTCAGAAGGGACATCAATTCTCAGTTACTTACGCTTTACTACACCTTGGAACTTCCAAACTTCAAGTTCTCAGAAAATATAATCTTGAATTATCTGGTGTTGAATTATTAGCAAATGTTTAGTTGTAAAGATCACGTTGAGGAGAATGGCCTGATAGGAATGGGCTCATTCCATAGTCATCCTAATTTTGTCAGGTTTGGAGATAAATCCTTGGAGAGATTTCTTGGATTACATTGTCTCAATACCCACCTCCCCCATGACTTGGCCCTTTGCTGACCTACATTTAGCATTTTGCCTTGAATCTATACTGAGAGGTGTTTTAAGAAATACATGGCCAGGCATTGTGGCTCACACATGTAATCCCAATACTTTGGGAGTCCGAGGCAGGCAGATCACCTGATGTCAGGAGTTTGAGACCAGCCTGGCCAACATGGCAAAACCCTGTCTCTACTAAAAATACAAAAATTAGTCAGGCGTGGTGGCTCGTGGGAGCCCGGGAGTTCTAGACCAGCCTGGGCAACATGGTGAAACCCCATCTCTATCTGCCTGTAGTCCCAGCTACTGGAGAGGCTGAGGCAGGAGAATCACTTGAACCCAGGAGGCGGAGGTTGCAGTGAGCTGAGATCATGCCACTGCACTCCAGCCTGGGCAACAGAGTGAGACTCTGTCTCAAAATAAAAAAAGAAGAACAAAAAAAAAAAAAAAAAAGAAAGAAAGAAATACATTACATTTACCATTGTAGAAACTGTAGGATAGTCGTTGGGAATGATGGAACACACTACCGAGTTGGGCACAGTGGTATGCCCCTGCAATACC